TATTGATCCGAATCACAGATCTGAAAAACAGGATTGAATAGTGTTTTGAAACACATCCTTCAAATCCTTGATCAGAATCGCTTATTTCGAATAACTGGTGTGAATATATTTTAATATAATGGCTATTTGAATAACTTAATTTGAATCACTTGAATGATAGAAATAGTGATTTTAAGCACTAGAATCAAATCCTTGTTCTTACTCACTTAGCTCGAATCACTGATCCAAATCACTTAGAGTGAATCAAATGTTTAAATTAATTTTTTCGAATAAAATGATTCGTATTGGTGATTCAGATCCGTTTTTTTATTTAAGTGATTCGAATGTAAATGAAGCAATTCAAATAATTATTTGCATCAACAATTAAGACCATTGCTTCACGAGTCATTCAGGTAACTGATTCGGTCAGGTGATTGGAATGGTGCTTTGGCTCAGTGATTTACCTAATATTTATCTGTTTTGATGGACCATAATAAAACATGATCAACCCCATTTTTGCGCCAGATTGATATCAATGAGTAACATTCATATCAATGAGTCATGATCATACAAATAAGTAGCAATTTGGGTCAGATGAATGAGTATCAATATTCAACTCTGTAATTTTGAACCCAACTTAGAAGGCAAAGAAAGTCATGTATCAAGCTTTAAGAGAAACTAGTCTTCATACATTCTGATGGAAATAAGCCGCATTTGAGCTGTATGGAGAGAGAAACCACGAAACCACTCACGATTAGTCAGATATAGCGAGGGAATTCTAACTCATGATAGATACGTCTACCATTGTTGATTCATATTGAGATCTGTTATATCTAATGTAACTGGCATTGAACAGCCAACCCAATTCTACATTTTTAACAATCAATGTTCATTTAAAGTTCTTTTGAAATTCAGTATATAAAAATGCACATGCTCTTAGTGCCTGTTGAAAGCAAAATTATACCCTTCTAAAGACTTGAGCAAGAAAATAGAAGCTGAAAAATATAGTAATATTATCTGAAAATATAATAAAGAGTTTAGTTCAAATGAATAAGGAAAAAACATTGAAATACATTTAGATTAACAAATACTTGCTACAGAAAAAAAGTGAGAACTTAAACACAAATTATTTTTCCAGCTAAGTCACAAAATACATTCCGAGATTTGTTTTATTATGAGAGCGTGGCTTAGTAGTAGGGGAAAAGAACTTTTAGCCTTCCTTTTTTATGCCAATGACTTTTTTATTTATTTATGAAATTCTAAAAATGTATGATGTATGTCATGGCACTTATGGAAAAAAAGAAAGCACTAAACATATGAAATATAACGAAATACTTTCATACACTCAATATTTGGACAGAAATTTTTTTTTTTAAACCAAGCAAAAGCAAACTAAAATATTTGAAAGTTTTAATAAAAAAATTCCCGATTACTTAGAATTTAGCAAAGTAATGATTTTGATGATGCAAGAGAAATCCCTATCGTGAAGCCGATAAATTAGAAATTAAAACAATCCTGATTCAGAGCTGGTAACATGTTATTTTAATAATTTTGTTTTGTTAAATCAGTAACTTTTCTCCCTTATTTAAATACTACTGATTACTTAATAAAAGCTTTATGTAATGTTTTCCTTGAAAAAGTTTTATGTACATAAACTTACTTTAAGTAACAAGCATGGATGTGCATAACATTTAGTTATTAAAATCACTTGCAGCTAAAACTTAGAAATTAATGTTTTATTAAATCAAAAATGAAAATATGAATGAGAATAAAATTCACAAATATATAGAATAAAAAAACATTTATAAACTCTAGATAAAAAGTTTCAATAAACACTAGATAACCATTTTTGAAAAAATAAAGAGTTGATTTATAACTATACCTTTACATTTATAATAAATCTGGCTTAGGCAACATATTTGTTATCACAGAGAACAATAAATTGCTACAGTATGGGACCCCTAATCCGGCATCCCGAAATTCGGCAGGACCCAAAATTCGGCACATAATCCAATCTAAATTTTTTTTTTAAAAGAAATTTTTATTAATAAGAGAAAAAAAAAATCACTTATATTCTCTTTCGATTTGGAATTTAATTCTGTTGAAGTAAGTAACTTTATTTTATCTTTCTAAAAAAAAAAAGGCATGAAAAAAAAATCTGTGTCAAAGGAAACATCTGTTTCCAAAGCAGTTTAAAATATCTAAAGTGAAAGGGAAAAGTAAAAACACCTGCATTTTCAATGAACAAAGTAAAGTAAAGCAAGTTGGAAGAAACTGATCAATCAATCTTGACAGCTGTGCAAGTGCTCTACTGGTTCCCCCCCCCCCTTCTTACCCCTTGGTTCCCACATTTCCCTCTCCAGTTTGACCATAAATTAGCCACACCCTTTTGATAATGAAGCTACCATGTGGGATACAAACTGAATTCTATCCCTTTTGCTGCTTTTCTTACTTGATGTAAATTATACTCCTTTGTTTTTTTACTAGTTATTAACTGCTCGTTCTTTTTTGTTAATTGATAGCTTGTTTTTTTAATCGTATTTAAATGTTAGCTTGTTTTTTTTAATCATTATTTGTTGTTAGCTTATAAAAAATATATACAGTGTAACGTCCCATATCCAGACGTCCCTTTCCCGGAAGGATCGATTTCCCGGACACTTTTTAACAATCAAATTAAACATCTCTCCATCTTCCCCTTTCCTTAAAAAAAAAAGTCTTTTGACACATTTTCTCTTTTTCTAGCTTGCACTGAACCTCTGATTTATGCATCGAACCCATAAATCACCAGAAAGGGGAAGTGAAGATCTACCAAAACCATTGAGTGACCGTTAGTGACGCTCCTCCCTTGGAATGTAGGAAAAAGAGGGAGATTTGTTTTCAAAAGACCGCAACTGAGTCTGATTCTGAGAGGCATTTTCTGGAACCTTTTAATTGAAAGAAGAAATACTGTGGAAAAAGGCAAACGGGGCAAGCGTTATGGTGGAGGGAAACAAAACATTCGTTCCTCCCCATACCATGTAATATTTAGGAGGCGGGGGGAAAAAGGGGGTAGCATTCTTTCAGTCATAGAAGAAAAAATAAAGAGAACTCTATCAGCGTGCCCCGCCTTTATGCTTGATTGATAGCCAATGATTGGAGAGAAAACAATAATTTGTTACTTCCCCACCCTCAACTTAAATGATCTCCTCTTTACACTTATTTTCTTTCACAAATAAGGAGGAAATGAATTTTTCTCCTCCACCTACCCACCTTAATGAATGACGGGAATTTCCCTTTCTTGCTTGAATCATTCTAGTTAAAAATGGCGGATTATTATTTTCATATGTCAATTTTTTTTCGTTTTCTATATTTTAAGCAATAATATTTTTTTTCTAATATTTCATATTTTATTGATTAGATATTCTAATACTAAAACATTATTCCCCTTAAAAATAATGTTTATTTATTTTTTGCTTCTTAGATTTAGATCATTTTAAGCTTTGTTCCAGAATGACATGAATTTCCCCTTCCTGCTTGAATCGTTCTAGTTCAAAATGGCGGATTAATATTTTCATAACTGTTACATTTTTTTCATTTTCCATATTTTCAGCAATAATATTTTTTTTCTAATATTTTATATTTGATTGATTAGATATTCTAATGCTAAAACATTATTCCCCTTAAAAATAATGTTTATTTATTTTTTGCTTCTTAGATTCAGATTGTTTATTAAATCATTTTAAGCTTTGTTTACTTTGGGGGTCTATTGTAAGGAAAAATCTATTATATACGGACTTCTGGAAGTCCCACCGATTCCGGATACGCGACTTTACACTGTATTGTTATTTCTATTCTATAGATTATATTTTAATTAATGAGATTTCTTAAGATAGGACAGTTTTAAATTCACCTACTGCGATCAAAACTTAACTAAATTTATTGGAATTAATTAATTTTCTGAAATTAGCAGTATAATTGAATTATTGTAATATATGGGTGCCATATTGGAATTTCCGAAAGAGATCCGAAATTCGGCAAATTCCGAAGTACGGAATTTCGTCGGTCCCGTGAGTGCCGGATTTGGGGTCCTATACTGTATTAACTTCTAAATATGTCCACAAAATATTGATATTATATTATAATTTACAATAGGAACCTTCATAAACAAATAATAAGCATTCAACTTAATTTTCAAATCATATAGTACATACGGATCAGTAAACATTTACTTATAGCAATTGATATTTAAGAAAAGAAATTTGATATAAAATTTGAGAACATGATCATCTATGCAATTTTGAAGACTCAAATGATTACAAAGAAAATAATTTATTTTCAAATAACTATAATTCATTTTTCCCAACGAAACTTTCATGGAAAGAATATATAATTAGAAATATACCTACATTGTGCAGCTTTTTTGTATAACTTATCAACCCAAAATTTCGAGCTATCAAGGACTTAATCTTTTAGTTATTAAACCATCTGTACATTAAGATCTTTTAACCATTAAATACTGATTCCTTTTCTGATTACAATAAATTAGAATGCAACTTGAAAATATACCATTTCATTTAAGTTTTCATACAGAATTCGAAATTATTCTGTGGAAGAAATATGATATGATTAAAATAAGATAAAATGAAAATGATCAATGTTTCTTATATTTTTAGGTACTGCATAGCAAAAAAACAAGAAATTTAAAGGCAGGTTTAGAATTATCTTAAAAATTAAATAAATATAATCAAGATGATTGAATAGATATAAATAAGAAATCTATTCTTGAAATAAATATTCAAAAATATTGGTTAGTATTTAAAATCTGAATTTATTACAAAATTTATAAAGATTTTAAAAATGAAATTTAAAACTGTAAAAATTTTGGTTATTAAAGTACCAGAAGGTAAAAGACTCAATAAAAATATATTGTTTTACTTTCACTGAAAATATTTAGAAATAAGAGTTGAACAGTTTTTTTTTAATTACTTGAACATTTTAACAAAATACCAATTATGTAATAATTATGATACTTATTGCACATAAAATGTGCAAAAACACTCATTGATTAAACTTTAAAACTGATTGCACTTAATAAAATAATCACAATTACAAAACATTTTAGAAACATGATAATTTTTAAATAATCATTACACAGTCATCTTTATCATCATCATCCACATTAGTACTGCATGGTGACACTTCTGTGTATTTGAACTCATTTCCATTAGAATCACAAAAGGAAGGTGAAATGATTGGTAAACTTGAATTATCTGAAAGAAAATTGCTATTATCAATCACCATTTCAACATTATTATTGATATGCTAACTTGATCTATACTTAATGTATGACCAATCAAAACAAGAATTTTCAGAAAAATAACAATTTTCATTTCATTTTCACTCATTTTAATTTGTTATCAGTTATAAAAGATAAAAAAATTAGATTTTGGCTGTCCAAAACAAATTGAGAAAATAATAGATTAAATTTTAGAAGTATTAACTCCCTTGAAATAAGATATCACGTAATTGAAAGGGAATCATAGTCAACTTAAAGAAAAAAATGAAGCTACTCTGGTAAATAGAGATTCTAATTGGCTTTAGAGATAACCAGGAAAACCTTACCTTTTATCAGGAAAAATGCAGGTCAGAGCTTTTTAACCAAAACTTAGCTTGATCCAAGTATTGATTAATTTATTAAAATGAGAGCTTAATGATACAAAAATCAGAACTGGTTAAGGTAGAACTGGTCAGAACTGGTAAAGTAAATTAGATTGCATACTTCAATCTGCAAAAGCATTCTAAGCAGGTTTAAAAACTATATCAAAGAAAAGAAAAAAAACAGAAAGGGGAGATAACTTTAATGGGGTAACTCAGTACAAAGGAAATTTGAGGTTTTCACATATTGACAAATTTAATATATATATATCAATATATATACACATTTAATATATATACAATTTAATATATATACACAGTAAAACCTCGATTTTATATTGTCTGTTTCTCACGTTATAACGCTTCCTATGCTATTCTCTGCTGGTCTGGAAAATTGCCGATACCAATAATGTTGAATTATCCTGGATTTCACATTACCACTTAATACATTTTTCTAACAGATGAAAATCACTTTTTCTCTACGAAGCACACACAACCTTTTCACAAGTTTTTTCCTCTCCTTTTTTTTAAAAAAAAAGAAAAGTGAGACTTGTCTATTTAGCTGTTTGTAGCTTTTCAGACATCTTTTCTATTTTATCTTATCATCCCTTTTTCTGAGAGAGGGTATTTCCCAAATTGGAATTTTTTCAAGTAAACTTCAACCGTTGAATCTTGGAATTATCCAATCATCTAAAGAATTGTACACAAAACAACTGGTTAGGTAGTCCTTTATTTTTCTTGATTCTGGTCACCTGCAAGATTTTTTTAAAGGCAGAAATAAATGCTCCAGAAGTTCGGAAATTGACTTCTACAGCATTGAACAGTGTCGAATAGAATTCATTACAAATGGGTTTAATAAAGCTTATTGAGGTCAATTGTATCTCGGTAGCCAATGGGAAAAATCTGCCCTTCGGAATAAAATTTCTTGCCCAAGATCTTCCGAAGTTGATGACATGATGTATATGAACTGCAACACACATACCATTACTTATCAATCCCTTCAATGCTTGATTTGATTGCTGCTCCTAATGATGTTGATGAAAACGTTGTTGTTGTTAATTTACGTCGCACTAGAGCTGCACAATGGGCTATTGGCGACAGTCTGGGAAACATTCCGAAGGATGATCCGAAGACATGCCATCACAATTTCGATCCTCTGCGGAGGGGATGGCACCCCCGCTTTGGTAGCCCGACGACATGCGCGCGAAGGCGAGCACTTTGCGGTAGCACAGTTTAACGAGGACCAATACCGCACACCCTCGGTCCCTACGCAGACTGATCCAAGTGGTCACCCACCCGCGGTGATGAAAACCATGATGATGGGCAAAACGTATTGTAGAATATACCCACAACTGATCAAGAGCTTGAAAGCATAAAAACTATGAAGCAATTGTGGATTTAAAATGAAGTAAATTTGCAAACAATAGTAAGTATTGAGAGATATATTTTAATAAATGAATCTAAAAACAAATAAACATGTAAAGATGGCACATTTCTCTAATAGTTAATCTCATAAGCCTCAATTTTTGGAAAATATAAATAATATTTTTTTTACCCCGATTTTACATTATCCAGGGTTTTTTTAATGCTAATCTGATGGAAAACGTGAAATCAGGGTTCGACTGTACGCTGTTTTACAAACATGAATCTGCATGAACATTATCATAAAAACATTGAAACAAACTCATCGCACATGATTAATAAAAGATAATTGTTAACATGAACATCAATTACTATTATATTATCATTAGAAAAAAGGGAAATATAGTGATCCACAGTAGTTGGATTCAGAGCTTCTAGGCCTCAAGTAAATGTCAGTTAAGCCAATTAGGAAAATTTTCAGATGTGACTTTTTTGAAATTGGCTGGTCAAAGTGCTCGATTATTTTAGGAGATGAACACCCTTAACATAGATAAATACATCAAGTTTCAGCCTGATGTAAATTTAAAAGTAAAAAATAAAATCGAAGTAAATTTGAAAAAAGTTGTGTCCTTGTCTTGTAAATTTTTGAACATTATAATGAATTAATAATTTAGATCTAATTTTATGTATGGTTTAAAAAGAGATGGTTAATTCTTTAAAGACTTAAGTAATTTTAAAATGTTTAAATATTGTTATATTTCAAAGACTTACCATCTTTTGAATAGTTCTCCATTTCTTTCGAATAGCTATCATCGCTATCAGAATTGACAGTATTTGAATGTTCTTGGTAAGGATTAGGAATGCATGGCACATTGTTATCACCATTAGAAAAACTACAGCTTTCTTTTTCAAGGATTTCCTCTGTAGAAAATTTTGTTTCTGTTTGTGCTTTAAGATCACAATTTCTTTTTTTCAGAGTTTGCTAGAAACAAAAATAACATTAAGTTATAAAAATGAAGAGAAAAATCACACTGTTTTAAAAAGAAAGTGTTGCTATAGTATCAAATATCACTAGTTTCTAGCATGTCGCAGCAAATAAATAAACAAACAAAAAAGTGTGAGCTGCAGAATAGTCATAGAATTATGTAGAACTCAGTATTGTATAGTGAGTTATTAGCATACAAATTTGAAATAAAGTTTCTGGAAATACTATTTACAATGTTAAATATTTTTTTAAAAAATTTTTTAATTACAGGGATGAGAGTAGTCAAAAAGTAAAAAAGAAAAAAATCTAATTTATATATATATATATATATATATAAATATGTAGAAGCTATGATATCCAAAGATTTGACAAGAAAAGTTCTACTTTTAAGCCATGTGATTATAAATCCTGATGATTAAGTTNTTTTTAAAGCCAGAAAATAAAACTGTTTAAATTTGTTAATGTATCACTTGGTAAAAAAAGAAAAAAATTGTTTCTTTTCAATTTTTTTAAACATATGAATTAATAATAATAACCTGTTTATTAATATATAAAGCATGCAACAATATTTGAAAAATTGAACTTTCCAGAGTATATTATTTAAATTTTTATTTCATTTAATATCATTAAAATATTACTTTTTGAAAAAAACCCACTTGAAGTTTTCAATAGTAGGTACCTACTATAAAATTATATGAAGATTCGAGTTTCTTTTACTTTACTAATATTAAAAACTTAATCATATAAATCATGCAACTCTATTTGACAAATTTATGCTGCACAATAAATTATATAAAAGTAAATGCGAAACAATAAGTTTTAGTAAAAAAAAAAATATATTTTTTTGAAAAAACCCACTTACCGTTCCAAGTGGGTTTTTTCAAGGTGGGCCCGCCCAATAAAACCCGGGCGGGTTTTTTCAAAGTGGGCCCACTTGGCGAACCCTGTTATAAATCCCGATGATTAAGTTTACAATTGTATGAATATGAATCACATAAATATGAAACACTCGCCTGATTTTAAAATCGTGTGAATAAGTGTTGCAACATTTGATTTTAAATTGAGAGAGTATGATATGTGGCTTTTAAATCACGTGAATATGAAACTCTATATCGAATTAAAAATGCGAAAATACAAATCATGATGTGCAATTTTCAGCTCACGTAAATACGAATCACAATGCATAATTTTTAAACTACTTGAATACGAATCTTATTGTCTAATTTTTAAATCACGTATAAATATGAAAATCGATGTTTGATATTACAACCACATAAACTAATCACGACATTGTATTTTAGACTTGTGTGAATACCAATTGCATTTTTATTTGTGTTGCAGAGTTCTAACCAGATGAAATAAAAATTAAAACAACTCAGCTAAAGAATATTGCATTAAAAAAACATTGAGAGAATATAACTTAAGTAACTAATTATGTAATCAACCAGCCTCTGGGATGTAATACACAGATATGTAGTTAACATGAGACCCAGGGATTCTCCTTTTATATTGGAAAAATCTCTTCGACTAAGTGAAGCTCAAGACTCCTACTGGAGCAATTATGTTTGCTAGTATTATTTAATGTTAAATGTTTTGTTTTCTTTCCATTGTGCTGTGCATAACATAATTCCAAAAATTAGTTAACTATATGTTACTCAAATCTTCTTAAGTGAAAGTAAGCTTAACATGACACAAGACTTAATGTATGTTTTAATAGTCATATTTGAGTAATAACTGAACCTTTCCTACATAAAATTGATAACTGAGATTGCATTAGAAGATATAAAAATACATACTTGGCTCATTTAAGAAGAATTATAGGGACCATATTTATCTCAAGTGGGTGGGTATAGAACAAGACTCTTAACAATGATGATATAGTACGTAAACTACTGTGCAACCACAGCTTAGTACCTGTTTATGGTTGCATAAAATATATCTTATTTTAAGCCCTGCATTACAAATAATGTAATATACAGTAGAGAACCAATTAACCGGGATACTCGGGACGATCGCTATCTCGGATGTCTGAATTTCCCGGTTTTCTGGATCGGCCAAAAGTGCCGTTAATCGATGTTTTATCAAACCCAAATTACAAGGAAAAAGTTAAACATATTTAAAAATATGGAAAAAAGGAAAAGATCTCCTAAATTAAAAAAAATGGTAGAAAAATAACATTTAAAGGATAAAAACATTTGCAAATTTAGACAAGAAAAACAAGTTTAAAAAATACAAAATTTGCATATTTATTTTTTGATAATAATTAAAATCCCCAAATTAACTAATATAAAACAAAACCAATAATTAAAAAGTGCAATATATTTCATACCTAATTATACTGTGGGAGAGGATGAAAAGAAAGCTTATTAATCTAAATAAAAACAACACTTGAAAATTATGGAATGGAAACGATATTTAAAAAAGGCACTAACATAAGTATTAAAACCACCAAGAGACAGGATATTATAAAATAAACGGAATTTAAAAAAAAAAACTTAATGATAAAATTTATGAATAAAAAGAATTAATTTATTGAGTACAAAATTTATCCTAAAAGAAAAAAAATAAAAAAAAAAAACAACGGAGTGGAATCAGAAAAACAGAATCAAAATTTAAAAAAAAGATAAAAAAACTACTATCTTTTTTATAAAATTTTATTTTATTTATCTTCTTTATAAAATAACCGCATGCTTTTATTAACAAATAATTATATGCTTAAATTAATAAATAATCTTCTCCTTTATTTTATTTTTTTATTAAAAGACTATTTTTAACGAAAGCAGATGTGCAGAAACTTGAAGAATTAAATAATGCATTATCTGAAATAATAAAACAATTCACCATAATACATAACAAAACTGAGTAACTGAAGTGGATCATTTAAAATAAATCTCACACTTCATCTTGAAAATCAATACTCTTAGCCAGATGTTTCAAGTTTTCCCCACCCCCTCGTAAATCACAGAGAAAACGAAATCAGCTTGCCACTCCTTTAAGTTTGATTGATGGCAGCTTATCAGAAATGAAAATAAACACAGGAGGAAATAAAACATTTCTCCCTTCCCTGCCCCCTCTGTATCTAATTCTTTCAAATCCCCATTTCTAACCTAGCTAGACAAGGTCCATGAGATTGTTCACCTTCAAAAAGTCTAAAACAACTTCTGTATCTAATGATCTTCAAGGTCAGGGGAAGAATTGAAGTTCCTCTGGGCAAGTGAGGAGAAGAATTCTCCCCTTTCCCTCTACTCAACTTTAAGGATGAGTCAAATTTCCGCTCTTTTATAATCGTTATAGTACTTTAAAATAGCGGGGAAACCAAGCGAAATTCTTCCCGGTTTTCTGGTTTCTCAGTTATCTGGATACCGCATAAATGGTTCTCTACTGTACATTATAAAATTAGATGTAAAAGCACAAGCTTCACTATTAAGTAACTGACAAAAACTATTAATGAATTACATTTTTTTGATTTAAATAAACTAAATGTTTGAAATAAAAATCCTGATTGAAATTATTTGAAACAGTAAAAAATTAAAATAATAATTATTGATATTAATATTTAAGTCTTACTATTAGAAAGAACCATGTTTATTAATAATTAATGTAACAATAAGTTTTAAAATATTTAGAATTACCAGAATGTTTTTCATTTCAACCAATGCTACTGGTTCAGATGAATTTGCTTCTGTTTTTGATTGAATCTAAAAATGAATAAAGGTATATTTTAAAACTATTTTGAATAATAAAATTATTAACAAAATAACAACAAAATAACAACTGATACTTCAATAATTACTATTCATATTAAACTTTTATGCATGTTTGATTTTACAGCTAGGTGCAAATGTAGTAAACTTATCAAAAGAAAAACATAAGCTTTATTGTTTACTGATGTCTACTACATACTAAGCAAAAATTAAGACGGAAAACCTGACTGGCCTAAAAAACTTAAAAACACACACATTAGAAAAACAGCATACTCACTCTTTCAAAATCTTGCCGTACTTTTTTTTAACAGATCGATTTTAGTTTTACATTTATCTTGGTAAAATTGTTACAAAAATTTATAAAAAATTAAGAATTTTAATGGATATTGAACCATTAGAATTCACAGAATCATGATGAAAAAATCAATTTAATAAATTAAAATAGACAGTTTAAGAAGTCAAAATTTTAATCAACATAATTAAAAAAAATCTTATGTGTTATGACTTTGCTCAAACAGATATTTTTCATATTCCTTATTATCAATTCTGGGCTGAAAAAAACAAGGCTTGATTTGATTGATGTTGTAAAGGGTTATGACTCTTTGTGTTATGACTTTGCTTAAACAGATATTTTTCATATTCCTTATTATCAATTCTAGGCTGAACGGAACAAGGCTTGATTTGATTGATGTTGTAAAGGGAAAAAAGTGGAATCACAAAAGCAGGCACACACAACTTTTTTTTGATAGCCAGCTACAGAAACTTAAAAGAAAAATATGTATGGGTCAAATGAAATATGTATGTAAAACTGTATTTGTAAAAACTTAAGGTTTCAGTTTTATTTAGATTTTCATTGAAAGTAACATGTATATACTATATAAACATTATAATATGTAAAATTTGCAAAGTATTACATTTCCATGCAAGTAATGAAATCATAGCCATAAATAAAACTTATAAAAATAAACTATTACAATCAAGTTCAGAGTTGCACTAAAACAATAAATAAATAAAGAGCCATGATGACCAGTAAAAAAATATATATATATGCATATTTCTAATGAAGTGGTATTTTCTCCAAAGCAGAAAAAAAAAACTTTGTTTCGCATTTGTTATATTTAATTAAAATATACTTTATATATATTTTTTTAATATTTAAAACTGTTCAGAAGCCAAGTTTTTCGGCAGCCAGTTTCTGACAATGGGCTATAGGTTATGCATCCCTGATAAAAGGCATTTCTAAATAACTTTAAAAAAAATTTAAACAATAACAAGTTTAAGTGGAAAAGTGTAAAATTAGTAGTTAAAGAAGTATAAAGAGAGATAGATTAATTTCATAGTAAATAAAAGTGCTTTAAAGATATCCATTATTTAACAGCTATAGGTTGTGGAAGAATTGATGAGTAAAAAAGGAAATACATGAGCACAGAAATATCTCAAAACTTGTGCACTAGACATTAAAGTAATTAATGTATTTAAAAATAAAGGTTAGAATAAGGTAAAAATACTGTTGGAATTAATAAACTTATATGCATAATATTATAATATTTGAAAAAGGCTCTTTAAAGGTCGGTTGATGGTATAATAATAAGAACTTCACTTTTGAATTTGAAAAGGAATTTAAAAAGGATTTTGTTCATATTTTTGTCAAACAGGGTCTAATAGTGGCTTACAAACTTAAATATAATTTGAATTTTATGTAGTACCCCTCGTAAGTGACGTCTTTACATAAGACATTTTCAATTAAAGGGACAAGTCTGTTTGTCCAGTCCCTAAGAATCCTTAATCTATTTGTCTCCGAACAAGAGACACTCAACATAAGGAACACTGAAAAAATTTTCCTAATGTAAGGCAAAGGTATAGAAACAGAAAATAATGAAAAAATTCTTTCTCATCCAAGTGAAGTAAATATTTAAGGTTTTTTACACATAAAGCTAAAAAAAAAACTGAAAAGAGCACAAATAATAACATAATAATATAAATAGACAAACAATAGTAGGGATTCCATGATGAATGTTTCTAATTGTTGAAACTAGGAGAGATTCAAGGAAAAATAACAAATTACAATATTGATGAAAAGGTGAGTTCATTAATAGAGAACAATTTTGAATGAGATAGACAAATATAAGAAAGAAAGATAAGAAACAAGGGTGGTGAGAGAAGAGTGACAATCCTAGATGATGCAAAGGTAAAAAGAGAACAGATTTTTTAACATTTCGGAAAGAAAATCACTTCGTCAGTGAGTTTAATATATATAACTAAAAACACTTTAGTTCCCGATTTTTTAAACAAACTTGTGTAACATATTATTTAAATTAAATTTCTATAAGAACAAAGTTCTTTCTGTTCATATCATATATCAGTAGAAATGCTTTTTTTCTTTTTTGAATTTATAACTTTAAATTTTTATTTGATTAAAAAATATTAGCATACAACATTAGCATTTTTCCCATCATTCAAATCAAAACTGAACTGAACTGAAACTGGAATCATACAAATTATGTTATTAACCATAAAAAGTAATAGTGACAAATTGGGAGAGCAGCTGAATTTCTTGCAGTGGGTTTTGATTAATTATGATTCAAATATTTATTTTAAAATTGGATAAAAATAAATGTGGTATTATTAGTAGAAGACTTATTCTGGATAACTATTTGACTGTGTTTGTCGCTGATTTTTCTAAATTATCATTGAATAGAATAACTGTATTTGGTTGGAGATTTTTGGCGGGACAAGCTTGTGAAATAATCTAACAAGTTGGATTGAAAACTGCTTTTGAAAACCTTTTGGAAACTGCTTTCATTGAGTGTTATTTTTATTTAAATACAGAAAATTTAGAGCTGAATGGAAATGCTGGGGAAGTGAAAAACCTTTCAATAAAGAAATGGAGCTGGGAAAAAAAATTCTTATTTCAAAGGTATGAGTGTGTTTCCTTAGCTTATTGTGTGTACATGTGTATTTAGTTGAACATTGAAATATCAAAATGATTAAGAAGAAAACAAGACTATAGAGAAAGAGTTGTAGTAATTCTGATGAAATAGGGAGTAAAAAAAAAAGAACTAGAACTAAAAGAAAAAATGTAAAATAAGAGCATAAAATGAAAGAATTTCCTTTAAAGAGATAAAAATTAGAGTTAGGAAAGGAATGATTAAAAATTTCTAATGCAGTAATTTATAATATAGAAAATACAATTTCAGATGAAAATTCGTTAGATAAATATTCTAAACTCTTAAAAGCAATAGCACCAAACTTGCCTAGTGATTGCAGCATATTGCTGCAATCACCAATTGTTAAGGGTATCTGGGTTAGACACCAATCACAAGTCTTTTCAGCCAAAGGTGGAGCTAGACATAAAACATCGCGGATGAATAATTAATAATAATCAGTTGAGTTTGATGCTAGGAAGTAGAAGGGTAGGATGTAAGAGGGCCTCATTCTTTGATCCCATACCTATTTTATATTATCCAAATTATTATTGTAAATATATGATAGTTATATCATTCTTTGTTTAGTTCAATAATAGCTGTTCAGTGGTTAATTTCACATAATTACCAACCCCAAAATTATGTGTTCATAATGAGCATTAAACAATTGCCAAACAGTAATTAAAACAAGTGTCTGCTTAAGTTGTATAATTTATTTTGTCATTTAAAAAATTAAAAAAATTTTTTTGTTGAGGAAATTAAGTTTTAGATTGGTTTACTTTACTTTATATTACAGGATTTTTCTCTTTTATTTTCATAAAATTTTAATCATGAACTTGTGTTTATTATTTATAAATATAAAAAATTGTACAAGGTATTTTTCTAAACAATCAAATAAGTCTGATTTAAATAAAAAATATAATTTTAATCTATGTAAAAAATATATATATATTTAAAAAATATAATTTTTTTTAAAAATCTGATAACATTGATTTAAAAAGAAAAAAATCACGATTTTTATTAATTTTATCTGAAATGCTAATTTCAAAAATAATATTTTACGAGTTTCATTTTACATAATTTTAATAGAAATTAAGCTAAAAATGAACTAAATCTCATTATTTTCAACTTCAGAAATCATAAGTTTATGAAATCGTAACACATAATAAAGAATAACAGAAATGTAATAAAAACTAAATGTATAAAAAATAAGCGCAACCAGCATTTAACTTTTATAAAAAAAATATAAATAAATTTATAATTTAGAAATTACTAACTTTTGGCACAGGCTTCAAATGAATATTTCCCTTTTTAATAGCATTTATCATCTCATTCATTGCCTTTTGATGCTCATTGTCAACACCTGTTAAAAAAACATGAAAATCTACATATAATAATCCTGAAACCAACTGAAGATTGTCAAAAATATTGCAGAAAAGCGTATTTAAAACTTTTACTTTAAATTAAATAGTATTAATTTCACTTTTGAACTTGCCACCATTGGCACTTATCAACTCTAATTTTAGATAAGCTATTTTAGTAGCAATATAGCTTCCCTTTCCGCATCACAAATAAAATAAGAATAGTCAGCAAGAAGTATATGTTTAAAGTATGAAAAAACTACTTCATTTTGTGTGCTCCTAAGCATAATAGTATGAAAGAAAAAACTCTAAAAAAATTGCTATTATCCAACAGCAGCATTGCAAACTATTTTGAAAACTTATAAGAAATCAGGTCTACAGACAAATTTTACATTGAGCTGAAATTCTAGTTAATACTCTAGAATCAATAGTAATGTAGTAACAAAATCAGACCCCCACCATAAAAGTACAAACCACACATTACAGCAGAGCCTATTGTTTTAGTGGCAATATATACATATGTAACAAAATGAAAAATGCAGTGGTTATTGTGTGAAAATTAAAGAAGAATGATTTATAAAAAAAGGACCTAAAAAAATAGAATAATTTCCGATCAGAATAATATTCTGGTTACAACCACAAAAATTCATCATGCTTCTCTTTTAATTAGTATTCCAATTATTTTATGATAATACAAATGCTAAGAAAAAACTTTCCCTTCGGATATTTTTTCATTATAAATAAAGATAACAAAACAAATACTGTGGACATTTAATGTTTTGGACTCATTTAATAGTTTTATTAGGAAGACTACTATTAGCATACTTTAATTAAAATAAGGTGTTATTATTTTATTTAACACACATTTAATTAGCACATTTAAATATGCTCTTTAAAATATTGTATCAATCCTGGATTAATATGTACAAATTTTGGATTTTTATGTATAAAGCAAACTGCTTAAAATTGACTAAAAAATATAATTTTATTTTTAACTTTGTTTTTGCTATTATATATTTTGTTACTTTTAGCTTTGTTTACTACTGAAAATTCATGTAAAAATTATTTTAAATTATAATGCAAAGTATTAGTCTATTTCAAAATGTATTTAAATTTCAAATAATTTGAAATAAAAAAAATGACTTAAAAATTATTTAACCAACGTGCAAATAATAAGCATAGAAAAATAACTACACTCAACAATATCTTGAAAGAAATTTCTTTTCATTCAAACAAAACAATAAATTAATTTAGAATTTACATTTGTGATTTAGTACACAAACAAATGCAAAAGTTTAAAGATACTTCTAACATTTGGTTAGCAATGAAAGCCCTTTGTTGATTAAAAACTAAGTGATAAAAAGAAAAAATTTGAAGAAATTGCTTTCAATGAACAAATGTCATAACCATAAACACAATTTTACTTGTCATAATATATTTTTAAATAAAAAGTTTTAAAATTTTAATTATCGTTGTCATTGCATTATGGAATAAATAGTCAGATAGTTCAAAATATAACTTACATCTTAATATCTAAAAAATAATACATAAAAAAACCTTTAAGAAAAATCATTTTAAATTTTATAAATTTGATTCTGATTGCAAGAAACCTAATGCTACCATTTAGAAATTATCTTAAAATTCATGTAAAAGATAAATGTGCCACAATTTTCTTTAAACTATTCAATAACTGACGCGCAATTAATTAAAACGTATTTTGTTTTTCTCAGGATTAACAAAATTGAAATGTACATCAAATTACAATGCAAAACATCTTTGCTGATTGAATTTTTTTTTAACAAATAATGAAAATGCAATTTAAAAAAAAGAATTAATAGCATTCGAAAGTTACTAATGTTTCCAATTTTTGTAGTAAAAAAAACTAATTGCATAAATTATAAAACTTTGTTTTCTCCTAAGTTCATGAAGCTCAATGAGACAGAAGACAAGGCCATTTTTAAGCAATTAGTTTTGTATAAATACCATATTTTCCCAAATTAAATAAAATGACTCACAACTTCATAAGTTCCCTTCAAATTACCTAAATTAAAATGTAAAATAATAAAAAAAAATTATAAAAATGCCTTTTTGAGATACATACCTTCTTGACAAGGCACTGATATTTTTCTAGATGGCTTTTTTGAAGCATTAATAAATGTTATTAAAGATCTGGAAAAAAAAGAAATTACATATGAATAGATTTTTTTACATATTTAAAAACATTTGACTTCTCTCAGAAATTTATTTTTAACATTATAAACCATAAAATTATAAGTAAACTTTCTCTCTTTTATGTTTTGCTTTTTTTTTCATTTTTAAATCATACTAAAGAAGTCAGTTTACAACCAGAGTAAGCTCTGGGCACTAGTATTGTTACTATCATACCACCCAATGTGTTACAATATCCATAATAGTTGAAATGTTATTAAATCTTCAAGAACTATGTTTCAAGCTAACTTTTTTTCAGTCAGAAAAGTAACTTCTTGTTAATCTGAGAAGCCCTGTATTATACAGAGATAAAAATTTTACAAACGTTTGATTAAGATTGAATTTAAGATCTAGAATAATTTATAAACTTTCATGGAATACTGAGACAGCAATCTTGCCAATATCATCACTAACATATAGTTTGATGATGTAGTACTGTACTACATACTATGTATAAATAGAACGACCAGAAAAATGAGGCAGAAAATTTTTTTTCAGAAAAATATGCTTGTTTACTAAAAAAATTTAGTTTTTCAGAGAAGTCATACTGTGTTCATGTTCTACAACTAATTATACAGATACATCTACGTTATTGCATCTGTTCTATTCTATTCTGCAACTCTATTTGGCTCCATGTGTTGATAGTTCATTTTTCAATGTTACTATTATCTTTGTAAAACAAAAATAAACAATAAATATGCACAATTATCAAAATGTGCAGAAATAATAAAGGCAGTACCCACTTTGAGATAATAAATTCAAAATAAAAATGACCAAACAGCTACTATTTAAATAAGTCGAATTGCCTTTTTTAAATGTGTATATATATTATTTAATGAAATATTCACTAGCAGTTTTTATAAATTAAATAAGAAAATGAATAGAACAAAATCAGCTGTTCTAGAATACTGCCTTCAACAACAAGATAAATCACATCTATACAAAGATGCTAAAAACAGTTGTGTCAGGTAGAAAAATATTAAAAAAGTAAAAATAATACATAATATATAATTAACATGCAGTAATTTTGGATAATACCCACATTAAATACTATGTTCAACTTGCAAAGGTTGCTTTAAAGCAGCTTTAAAATTTACTCAAAGTAGGAAAAATGCATTTGTAAGCATTAATTTATATCATAAATCAAAATAGCTATAACTTTCTTGCTTCTTCTTATTTTCTCCTTTTCCCTAAATCTTCAGCTCCCAGTTATAGAGCTTGGGCTACTCTAATTCTAGGAAACATCATTCTAATTGTTGGCTTCTAACAACCTCCCATTTGCTTTCTTGAGCAATGCATCTGAAGTTTGGGGTGCAACTTTAATTTGCATTTCTTTCATCTCAGCTTTCTATTCCATCACTTCGATTAATATTAACTTGCATATGGACCAACTATTTTCCTATTTCCATTTCATTCCCTTTCCTAATTATAAATTTGATGAACCATTCTTTTTACAGTATCATAGAGAATGGGTTAGAAATATTTAGTATTTCTTTAATCACCTATAATTCATATTTATATGAAATATTAAAATAAAATTTCATATAAATGTAATTAATTTTTATAATTTTTTGTGTATTTAATATTTTTAAATATGTAATAAAATAGCTTTTCATGTACATGTTAATCTAAAATAAACGACAATTTTAGGGGGAAAGTAAAGAGCTTAATTACATAAATAACATACCTGTTTAGTGAAGGTTAAAATTACAAAAAGTGAAAAAATTTCAAGGGGGTGAAAACCATTTTTTAACTTTAAATCACATTTATTTATTCACCAATAAAAGTTAAATGATGTTTAAATAATTAAAAATTAACATTCATCAATCAAATCAATCTTTGAAAAGGCAAAAAAAAATTGAAAGTGAAAGAGGAACAATAAAAAATGAGTTAAATGCCATTAATACACAATAGTTTAAAGAAATAAATAAAAATAAAAATAAGAGGTTTCTTTTTCTAGGCAGATAGTTTCTTTGAATCAGTAATAGAGTTGTTGTTTTTATTTTTTACAATAAATTAAAGATCAACTGTTTACATCAAATTTTTCATTAACATTTAATTAAAATTTCTTGTTAATACAAAGCCAAAACTAGACAAAATAAAACAATACACCACAGCACAAAAGTGAATTAAGATGATAAAAATTTTCTGCTTTCCCAGTTCTTTTTTTCCTTTTTTTTTCAATCTGAAAGTTTTGAGCTAGTTTTGAGTTTTTGTATAACTGTATCATGGTCGAATTCCATCTTCCAACACACTGCTGATAATTTATTTCTCCAACAGACTGTTTCGGTTTTCCAAAACCTTGTTACTATTATTTAAAGAACCCCTATTTGCATCCATATACTATCAATTATGATAATTATTTCATTAATAAAATAATTTCAATTATAAGCAATAATAAATTTATCATAAAATACCAAATGATAAACATATTGATAATAGATTTAACATGAATTAAAAATAAATGAACATTAAATGTGTCCTTATCTTACAATGATTTTTTTCTCTATTGTCTTTATTCAATTAATATTATTGTCAAAATTCATCAGGTTCAATTATACTAATTCAGAAAAAGACATTGCCATAGTAGAATATGTGGGAAAAAATGGACAGGAGTTTAGAAGCCTGTATCATATTCTCAAATAACAATGTCTGTGTCGATTACTGTTTCTAGAAGATAACTAACTTTGGAGCAATTCGCCAGTTTTACAACAGTATTTTTTTTTTAACTAGGCCCCTTTTTCCAAGAATTGGTCACCATTTTTTATTAAAATAGTAGCTTCTTTGCTGTTTATTGCAAAAATAGTACACATAATTGTCGTGTCTAAATTTTAGTTGCAAACAGTTGTATTTTTAGTTGCCACTAGAGGACCAGTAAAATGATTGTATTCATAAGTGGAAATTATTTTAACGCTTAAAAAACTGCTTAGGTTGGGGTAAACTTTCTTTAATTGTTTTTATACATTTAACTAAATTTTAAAAGATTTTTTTAAAAAATTGAACCATATGTTCTTTGCTATTTTGGATACAGAAATTTGGTTAAGCTTTAAAGAGAATGATGCCATAAAATTGCGACAATAATTAACCAAAATAAAAAAAAGGAATTTTCAGCATTTGGAAAAATTACACAATTACAATCAGTTAAGAAAGAAAAAAATAACTTTAAAATAAAAAGCTTCTGCAAATTTTGTTATTTAAAAAAACTAATGAAAACTTAAGTAACATCTACTTACTTTATAGGATTAAAAGAGGGTGGTGGGGGTGGAGGTGGTGGTGGAGGGATAGATAATGATTGATCTACAGGAACATTTAATTTTATATTCAAAATTTGCCGTTCAAGTTCCCTGACTATTGAAATAAAAAAAATGAAAATTAGACAATCAAAATAATTCAAAGTTTTAAGAGCAATATGATAAAAGCAATTACTTCTGCTACGAAGAACATTTTTTTGTTTCTCTATGATGGTCAAAGTTGCTGCTACATCTCGTGTAACAGAATTTTCATCTTTAGAGTTCTGATTGTTCCCATCACAGATTTCTGTATTACAGCTTATTTGATACTAGAAAAAAAATATCTACGTAACATAAAATATATAATACAGAATGAACACATTAGTTTTGTTGTTTTATTATACAGATTAAGCTGTAAAGTACAATATAATGTTCAAAGCTACTTAGTTCTTACATAGAATATTAGTTACTGAGCATAGAAAAGTGACTAATTTTATAAATATGTATTTAGGTTACTTAAAAGATGTTTAAAATTTTAAAGCTTAAGCTGTACAAAATTTAATATATTGCTTGTTTTCTGATTAAATAAAAATCTGACACTAAACATACTTTCTTTGAATAACAAGCATTAAGATATAAAGATTTAGAAACATAATATTTTCTAACTTAAATTGTCTGCTTTAATAAGTGAGCACACATGATGTCCACCTTTTAGACTATTTAAATTGCCTCTTAATACATAAAAATCCAATCTTTTGATGAAAAATTACTGACACTGTTCCACTATTTTTTATTTTATGCACAATGCATGTAAGAATTTATGTTCAACTTTCATTCAAATAGTTTATTTAAACACACAAACTGATTTTCAGGGTGGTCACTCAAATCAGGTTTCAAATTTTCTTGTTTTTTACAGGTTTTCCAGTAAAAATCCTAAAATTTTCAAGTCAGCATGTTTCCTTTTTTCTTTTTTGATAAAGTGTAGATGGGTACAAGAAAAGTGTCAATATTACTAAAATTTTATTTAAAATGTTATTTTTTTAATATATCATCTTGAATTGATGGAGAAAATAATATGTTTAGCTTGTAGAATATATTGCTTTTAATGAATAAAAAAATTCTTTTAAAATGCTAAGTAGTTTCTGCACAAAATGTATCAAATAGCAAACTATTGTATACTATAAATTTCAATTTTTTTTTAACTAATATTAAATAAAAAATACTAAATATTTATTAAAAGCTAACTTTTGCCTGAAATTATCTTTAAAAAATGAATTTTATAATTGTGTGCAGTCATCCCCATAAACCATTAACATTGAGTCCTAGAACGTGAAGAAATGATCATTAGATCAAAAGTTATTCAGGGAGATTCATTTTTTATTTTGCACTCTGTACATATATTTATCTAAAAATAAGTGCACATATTTAAGAAAATAAGGAGAACATAAATCAAAATTCATAATAAATTATAAGTTAGAGAGATTTTAAATTTCTATTTAAAGTAAATAATATGAAAATATCTATTTTTTTAAAAAATAAAATATAAAAAATATACTTTTTTGCACTATATTAAATTTTGTCTGCTTTGTATTTGAACTTTTAATTTGTCAGCGATTGTTAAACAATTGCAATACTCAATTTTAGTTTTTTTCTTCCATTTCTTCTAGTTTCTTCCTGTGTCCTGAAAGAAACATTTCTTCCAGACAAAATGCCAACCATGCTTACCCTTTTCTTTTCTTCCCCTTATTGTTCCCTTTTGGCAATACAATACTTTAAATTGAATCCTAATCATTTTGAATTCTTGAAATTATAACATTTCCTTAAGTACATAAATGCATGTTGAAAATCGTGTAAAACATAAAAAAATCTTGTCATTCATCTCTTATGTAATCTAGTAATACACATAGTTTATAAAAAAAATATAACATCTGCTTTTTTTCTGTGCTGTCATTAATATCTTAAAAAACTCTTTTATTTATGTTTTTACAAATGCACAATTATTCTCCTTAAAAGAAACAACTAAGTTTTACACTATTTTTTTAATAGCAAGCATAAGTTTTAATGGCCCAACATTTTATTTGTTAATTGTTATAAAGAACCAAAGAGAAAAATCTCCTTCAGAACATGTTGGTCTGATAAAGAAATGTAGAGCTGTATGACTAAAATCTATTCCTTGGAAAAAAGTATAGAAGCAAAATGATGTGTGAAAAAAAAATTGCGATAAAACCTGTATAACAGTGTAATATTCTATTTATAAAGTATTGCATGAGGATACATGTTCTTTTACTTATTGTTATGTCACCAATATCATATGTAATATACTTGACTACCTCATAAATTAAAAAAAATCACTTAAATTATTGAAACTCTAAACTTACAAGATTTTTTTCTAAACTTGAATCATCAGATGTAATCTGTGAATCTATAGCTCTTACAACAGCTAAAAGGATAGAAATTCAAAGCTTTAAGACATACATACATTATTAATTAAAGTAGTGTTTAAATCCCCTCTAGCCCATATTAATTATGTAGTTTATCATTTAACAACAATATAAACTACAGTGCTTCATATATTACTGCATAAACATTACCATTTTCCAAATTAAATTTTTTTCAGGAATAAAACTATTTTTGCTTTGTAAATAAAACATTGCTATTAAATAAAATAGGAAGTACAAAATAATTTCAATTGTGATTACATACTAGCTTTTCTTAAAAATATGTTTCTTGAGAATATTGTTACAGTAATAAGCAACTACTATTCTGATACCAATTATTTTAATTTATTTCACATTTGAAAACATGTCTAAAAATATTTAATAAGAATTACATTCTAAACTCAATATAACAAGAATTTAAAAATTAATACAAGTAATGAACCATGAATTTCTGAACCAAACTCATTACAATTCTCAATATTTTGAAATATTATTTGAACTTGCATTTTGTACATTACTTTTTATGAAGTTTAGCTTGTGAAACTTGATTATTCTTACACATATGAATAATAAACTTTTTTTTAATGGTTTAGAAGCATATTTCAGAAAACTATTCTATTTACTATTTTCAAATTATAATGCTTTTAAATCATTACTGCAGCACGAAATAAATTTGCTATAAATTTGCCCTTTTAAAAGTGAGTACTCTTTCTAAATACTCCCAACAATTTAATAATCTCAGCAAGTTAATGTTGGAACCTCAACCCTGGAATATGAAATCATTTATAAGTAAAATAGATAAGATTACACAAAGCTAAATTTTAAGTAGAAAAAGTCTAGCTATGCCAAGGTGGCTGATCAGGTAGTGCCCATCTATACTTCTGCAGCATCTGGTGGGCATGGGATGCAAATTTCAGTAAAGTGCCTGGGGAAAAGAGGCTAGTCTGACTTACCTTCGTGGGAAATTTTGGTATTCACTATATTCACATTAAAGGATAAATAGCTGAGTGGCCAGTTAAGCGAAGAAGAAATAGAATCTTGGTTTGCAACTTAATATTCAAAAATGCTGATCACTGCACCAACACTGCTTTTAAAAAGAATAGTAGATACATTTTATTGCTCATTAACTAGTTATCATTTAGATTCTTACTCAATTATACTAACTGCTTCACCAACCGAGTCCTTAAATGACTATAACGCTGAATGTATTTTACTGTTCAATAACTGGTTCTTGTAACTCATAAATGTAAATTTAAGTATTAGATCGCCCTCATCAACGAAACTATAGTCATACATATAGGTAAAATTATAACTATGAAAGTTATCATTATCAAAATTATACTACAGTAGAGAACCGATTATCCGGAACGATCGGGACCATCGCTATTCCGGATAACTGATTTTTCCGGTTTTCTGAATTGTTACAAAAAGCCGTTTTTTTTATTGTTAAACCCAACTAAAAAAAAAAATTTTTGGAAATAATCTTAAAAAGAAAAAACGATTAAGTAATACACTAATGATTATTTCCAAAATAATGGTAAGGTAAGCATCTTTCAAAAAAGAACGAAAAATCCTAAAATCTTATGAGGTAAAAAGAGATTATTTTTTTTTAAAAATGGCTAGAAAATTTTTCGAATTTCGTTCCGGTTTTTCGGTTTTCTGATTTCCGGATAACGGGTTCTGTACTGTATAACACAACAATATAAGGTGAATTTTTGAGTAAAATATTCAAATTGTCAAAAACAAGACATTTAACAAATTTTAAGCATAGAAATTTTTACAAAATGTAGAATAATTAATTTGAAATATGACTAGATTACTTCATTAAGACACAAAAAAAGTTTCATGCATGGAAAATATTTCATTTAGGAAATAAAACGGAGCACATATGTACCATTGGTCAAATCATTTAGTTGAATGCTACTTTTTTATGACATTTCTTTTATTTTTATTTTATTTTCAGAACTTGAAACTTTAATCCAATATCAAAACATATGATTAACACCAGATTGAATAATTATACATTTTCCATAAGTCAAATTTGTTAAAAGCTGCTTCAAGTTTTAAAGAAAAAAAAACTAGTTCAGTATAAAAATTTCTCAACATAAAGAGTTTACTCCAACTAAATTACTAATATCTTACAGTTGTCTGCAGAATCCCTGACAACAGCAGAAACCTATATCCATTCCATCGTTAATAAAAAAATATTAATTGAAATCTTTGGCCAAAAAATGGGTTAACCTCATCCTAGATAACAAGGAAAATTAAAGTTTCTAATATGCATATTTATAAATTCTAATATGAAATTAAATGCATGTATTATTAAATTTTTTTAGATTTGTAAAAACCCCAATAGTTTTAAAAATATAGAAACAGTCAATTTAACTATACTTACTTACAGTCATAAAGCACTTCCAGAGATTTCAATTTTTCTGTAGTACATTTATGCTCTCTCATTTCTTGTTCATACTATTAAAAATAAGGGAGATGAAATATTGAGAGAAAAGAATAACAAAACACATGTATAGAATAACATTTAAAAAACATGAAAATAAAATATCAGAAATTTAAAATTAACATGCATTCTGATTCTCTCAGATCGCTATCATATAGTAAAAGAATTTGATTTGAAGTAAAAAAATAGCCATGACATCTCCAAAATAAAATATACAATAGTCAAAAATTAAGAAATAATAAAAAGCCAAGAATTATGACTAATCACAAATAAATTTAATGGATTAAATACTAGAGATGAACACATCAGTTAAAGTTTCTGCAAAAATGGAAATTTCATGCTGTTATCCAACATTCAAAATTTAATTTTTACTTTAAGAAAAAATTACTCCCTTTAAGTAAATAATTACATCATTGAAATGAATTTTACAACTGAATAACAGATCAGAAATACTGTTTTTACGGATCGAAATGCCTGCTTCAAGAATAACATCTAGAGAAAAGTCAACAAAAAGCAAACTTATGACAAGATATCTTACAATATAGAAACTTATTACTCTCTTCTTTATTCTTTAATTATCTTAATTTGGAACACAGTAATAGCATTAAAATTTTAGCAAAGTGTTCAAAAAAGTGCTAATTTTGGCAAATAAACCAAACATTTTTAAAAAATTTAATACAACTTAGTTTTTTAAAAGTAATTAAACAAAAGAAAATGACATTATGGTAGGATAATATAGGGAAAATAAAAATAAGTAAATCAATAATAAAGCATTTCATGGAAGAAGAAAAATGAAAGAAAAAAAACTTACTAATTTTTTTGCAATTTCAAAGTCTTCCTTCAAAAAGGTTTGCTTTTCAATTTCTTTGTTTAACTTTGTTTTTAACTCTGCAATTTCTGTCCTTAAACCTAAATAAGTGTGAAAGAAGAATACAAAAATAACACAAATAATGCCAAAGATTCATTTCCTTCATTTTTAAGTTTTCTTTCAATTACCTTTATAATCCTTTTGAGAGCAAAAAACAAAAAAAATAATGCAAATTCAATATGATATTTTGTAAAACCACAATATAAATTAAGAAAAATTATTAATATAGTAATTAAAATAAACCAGGGCTATTTAAAATATAAAGATCCTATTTCTAAAATAATTTAATTTTGAATGTAGAAATATACATTAAGAAAGAAACTATGAAATGAATTATGACGCATTGAAAATAGTGAGAAATTAACAATTGTTAGTTATCTTTAAAAAAAAAAAATTGCTTTAAATAAACTAGAATTATAATCTATTCCCAGTTATTTAATTAGTGCCTACACTTTAAAGGTCTGCTTAAGCATTTTTGTCTTTTAATAATCTTACAAATAAACAATACACAATTTACAATAATTTAACAATATTAAACTTTATGTAGATTTTAAAAGCTTAAGAGTCAAAAAAGGCTGATTAGATTAAGGTAGTTAAGTTACTAACTCAATGTAGGCTAATCAAATAGTAAAGAAAAACTCATGTTAAAATCAAAAAATAATATGCATATTAATAATAAGAATAAAATGTTTATAACCAAAAGCTTATTTCACTAGACTTCAATGTTAGAACTTGATGACTTTTTGTTAAAAAAAATGAAGTTTCATTTCACCCTTTTTTCATATTTTACAATATAAATTTCAGAAAGGATTTCAGATTATTCATTAAAATGAAATTATTTACTATGTAAATAAAAAAATGCAATGGAATTAAAGGTTTCACTTTGAAGTAAATCAATAAACTAAAATATATATATCTGAGAAAATTCACACGTAGATCATGTATTTTTAAATAAATATAAGAAGCTTCAAACCCCCATTTTATTCAGTTTTTGTGTCTTAGTTTATTATAGTTAAACTTAGTTCATGGTTATGTTTAATCAGATTCTGTCTACTGAGGCAATAAACTTTCAATTTTGATAACTAACTTTAAATACAAATAATGATTATTTTTAAAATAAATGTTTATTTCAGAACTGTATAAGCAAGTTTAATTACTTGAATTAAAGTCATTCAAAATTTCAAGTTCAGACTCATTTTCACAACCATCACAATCACTAGTACCATTCATTTTATTCTCCACCGTAAAAGAGGTTTCACAAGCTGGATTGCTTCGTAACATTTGATTTTCTTGAAAATACTGCAATTAAACATATTATTTAAAAATCAAAATTATTTGTATTTTTTGCATAAGCACAAACATGAATGGACAGAACATGACAAACAAGAGTATCAAGGGACTTTCTTTTAAGGAAGGAAAATTTTTAGAAAAAAAATATTTTATTATTTTTTTACATCATTTAAAGCATCTATCTAGCTGAAGATTTCATAAATAAAAAAAATCCTATAACATGTTTTTTTAGTCCAAATATCAGTCAGATTTGCGAATTAAGTTTTAATTTGGAATAATTCTATTTCTTATAGGTTTATTCAATATTTTATTTAATATTTTAACTTCTTAAATAGCTTTAGAAAAATAATTTACTAAACAACATTGATTTAATATAATATAAATTTTATATAACATGTAATCAGTTCAAGTTTGTAAACTTCAATATTTTTATTAACATTTAACAATCCTAACACAATTTTTTGAGAAAAAAAAATCGATGAAAATTTCACAATTGTAAAATCAATCAATATAATAACTAAACCTATTATTAAACCTCATTTTTCAAGGTCAGAACCAATTTACAATATAAATTATGCCTATTTCTAACTACAAAATGGCTAATTTAAAATACTATACTGAGTATATGAATTTTAATTTCATTTTAAAATAAGTATTTTTAATAGAATTTGAATGGAATTAGTCCGAATAGTTTCTGAGATGTAGGAAAAATGTGCATTATATATGATTGAAAAAATTTTTGACCATTAAATTAAAAAAAAATATAAAGGAATTATAAAAAATATTATTACTTGGCAAAGGATAAAAAGGTGCTTTGTTTTTATTTCGCACGATGTATCACAACATATAAATATGATAAAATATAAATGATTATATAAAATAAAATAGAAATGACTAAAATTAAAAAACAAAAATTGCTTTTAAAACTACCTTGTTTTGAATAAAGTTATTCTTATAGATAAAAACATTTTTAAAACACTATTTTGGTCCTGCAGTTTAGTCGTTTGAAGTAAATACAAGTATATAAATTTTTCAGTTGTGATTGCTTTCCAAATAAAATTAAAACCTAATTCCTTATCAAGTTATTTATAAATTTTAATAGTAAAGTGTTTACTCACGTTTTTAGATAGATATTAATTTATTAAATGTAATTTTTTGTTTTTGTTTTATATAATTTATTAAATTTGGTTCATTGCTTTTAGCACAGTTTTAATCTAAAAGAAAATTATCTTACTCTAGTTGCCCTTTTAATAGCCATATTAGCAGCTTCAGTTTCCATATCACATTTTACCTTCAAAGCACTAAATTCATCAACAACAGCTTCAGACACTATAGAAAAATTTATAGGCAAGGAAAAAAATAACTTATTTCATTCAGAGCAAAAGTTATTGGCATAAATTATTAAGAAATATTAATAAACAAATGCAGTGGGACTTCTATTTAACAAACTTCCATTTTTCGAAAAATTTTTTAGGAAAAGAACATTTTAGAAATTTCTATGTAAAATAACATCCAAATAGCAAAGTGAATTTTCTATTTAATAAATCTTTCTTTGAGATCCACTTTCCCTATTTCCCAGAATATTTCAAACTTGTTAATGTATTTTAGGTTGGAAATTATTTTCACCTGATATATTATCAGGTGGAAATAGCTTACTATAGCCTTAATTTACAATCCATATTTTACATTTGTGAGAAAGTTTAAAAGTTTAATTTTGGAAATTTTAATTTTGTTTATTATATATATATTATTTACTACAATATTACTTATAATGGTTAGTCTGAAGTCATTCAGTGTATGTTACAATAATATATTAAGATATTCAAATGGTATTTGAAAAAAAACTAGTATAAATAAAGAAAAAAATTCTTCTGTGGAAAAAATTTGCAATAAAAATGCATATTTTTTTACTTGGTAGCAACATGTGAAGATTTGAAGAATCTGTTGAAGATAGAAAGTAATAGAGTAGGACAGTATAAATAGATGGTGATCAAACACAGATGATAGTAAATCAGATACGGAAAATAAAATAATTACAATTGCAGAAGAGAACAGATGCGAATGCATGTAGTGAAATGATGGTGGATTTGATTGGGAGAAAATAGCTGTATTGAGTAAACAGAAGTGTAAAAAAGGTATTACAGATATATTTAAACCATCGTTATTTTAAGTTCACCTATTTTTTTAATGAAATTATCAATTTACTGAATATGATTTGTTTTAATAAATACTGATCTAGTTCGGAATTTAATGCAGAGATCGCCAAAGATAACAAAGTTCATGCCTGATTTAACTAGCTTTTTGAGCATTTATAATGAATTTTGTTGAAAACCAAACCAAAATAAAATTTCTACTTTGCAGTAAAGAAAATATGAGTAAAAAAGTTGATAACACATACAAAACATTTCAGCCCCAAATAGATCAATGGGATATTTCAAGTATAATTAATCAATTTTTTTACATTTTAATATAGAAAGTTGAAATTTTCTACCCAAAAAAGTAAAGGTATAAAAAAGATTGCAAACCCTTACTGCTGCCAAATTTTTTTATTGCTGAGACCAACATTTATGATTTTTGCTAAAAAATTTCAGTAACGGTAGTTGCCGAACATAGTAAAACCAATAAAGTTATTAAAAAATTTTTTTATTATTATTCTTTATGTTGTAGTGGTCAAAATAACTTCAAATAAAATTTTAAAAACTCAGAATGATATATTAAAGCATAAAATTGACTATCACTTAAAAATATTGTTTGTAAAAATCGTAAGAGTTGGCAGATCCGTATTAGTAGATATTCAAAATAATATATATGAAATTTAAAAAAGAACTGGTGTCACTGAATTGATTAAATATAAAAAGTAACACGCATTAAACTTAAATTTGAAAAAAAATGTGAAAGTTTATTAATCATAGAAAGTTTTTAAAACAAATTCAGAAATATAGGAAAATGCCTAGCACATTTTAGGTGAAGTATGACACAGCAGAACAAAGGGGATGATGGGAGTAAAAAATATTGTGGAAAAAAAGTGTGACACCATTTATCAATATCCCAAGCCTTTGAATTTAAAGTTAGAATAAATTTCATAAATGTGAAGTCAAATTACTTTTAACTTCAATTTAATAATAAAAAGCAAGAATTTATACCAGAATGCATTCGTTCAAGTAATTCATCTTTTTCTCTAACCTCTGCAGCTAATTTGGTACACTAAATACAGAAAAACATGATTCTAGCAAATGATAATAAAAGACCAAAGGTTTAATTAAAAGTTTATTATAACAGAATGTTGACACTCATTATTTTATTTACTTTGGAAAGATAATAGCACAAAATTTTACCCTTACTTAATGGGAAAACATACAACTATATATTACTCGATAACTATATAGAAAGAATTAATAAGTATATAACAATTATACATAGTTACTTGTTTATAAATACTTTATTTGTTAAAGTTTCCATCATCAAAAATAATCTCAAAAATATGTATATTTCATTCGATCTTAAGAACATCTTTTTTCTTATGAGAGTTGAAAGTGATTCAGGAGTTAAGATGACTATGAAAAGTTTTAACTTGTAAAAAATTAGATTAATAAGTTTTTCTCATAACTAAACAATGGAAGCTTTCTCTCTCTCTTTATAAATATATGTATGTGTAAACCTTTTCTATGTGGCAAAAATTATAAGGGGCCCATAGAATAAATTACTAACACCACATTTTTATACATAACTTTGTTTTATTCCGTGATTTAAACTGCTTGCAAAACTGGTTTCAGAACTTAAGTATTGAAGAAGATAAAGTTCTTGCTATTGGAAGTAATTAAGAACAGTACAGAGCAAGACAAGAAAGAGCAATGTTTTCCCTTACAAATAAACAGGAGATATCAGATTATTTTCTATACTACTGATTGGTTTTTATACTTCTTTGTCTATAATATAGCTTAGAACTCACAGCGAAAAACACTGGCACTATTGATTAGAAAACCTCTATGATAAAAAACTATTTATATTGGCTTGTTGGCATTACATATTTGAAAGAATCTTCAGCTTAGTGGACAAAGAATTGCTTGTCCTGTCATTCATTGAATCATTTCAATGTATTCAGAGACAAAACTCTATTTAGTAAAGTATTAAGGTAATAGTTCATAATAAGATCTCAGAAATTAAAAACAGGAGTTAGAAAATGAGCATTCTATAAAAGCACTAAGAAAATAATTTCTACTTTAGATGGAAAGAATTTGTTAATTCACACCGATTATCAGAGTTATGTGTTGATGTAGAGACTTTTGGAAAAGACAACTGAAAGAAGAATACACTGCCTGAAACCAGGGAGAGGACATCATGCTCAAAGCATCCATTTTGTATGCATAAAGACATGTAAGCCTTTCATGCACAAATAGGATACAGTAACGATGAGATTAATAAATACAAAGCATTCAAATTTAATATGCTGTTTAATGTTAAGAACAGGCTTTCTTCATCTATCAGAGCTAATAAGCAATATAATGATTTTAAACTATGACATGACTTAAAAGCAATACAGGCATAATCAACAAGCTTCTAATGCCACCATCAAAGCATTTATGGTACTTAACTAAAAAATAGTTCTCTCTATTTTCACACAGATTTTATTTTTTTACACCACAAAATCAGCTCATTGCTTGAATATTGTTTCAAATTCATCCATGTACAGACTTTGAAAGTCTAGGGAACAATTTAACTTCTTTTAGTCTTAACCACAGTACAAAACTATAGTCTTATTGGGCCTAAAGTTTGGGTCTTGTTTAATAAATGAGAACAGACTCCAACTGGATAGGAAAACATTAAAGAATGGTATAAAAAACCCAAATAATTCTGATAATTTGAGTCCCAAAGAAGATGAGACTTATGTTCAAATCTCAAAGTAGTGAATAATCAGTTGGAACAGAAAAGGCTATGAAACCAATTCAGGACTCAACTAGTGTTAAAAATAATGACATGCAAAAACAATTAAAATTGCAAAACATTAATTATCATCACAAATGAATCTCTTATTTTCAAATATAGATTACATAAAATTTGAAAATATTATAAGAATTCATTTGATTGGTTGTAAGATGTAGAATCAAGATTATTACCATACTTATTGATAACTATATAATGCACGTATCTGTATAATAAACTATCTTACATTAAGAAGTTGTGTCCTGATTTCAGTGAGTATGAAAAAGAAATGACTTACAGGATAAATCAGTTAATCATGTTGGATAAAGAGGAGTCAAAATAAAGGTAATCTAATACAAAATAAAACATATTTCAAAATATATCAAGTCCTCTTCATATACAAATGACTTAAAATTTTACACACATTCAAATATTATATTGCAAGACGAAACATAGAAAGGATTACTCATAATTTTTTTTTTCAAAAAGTTATTGTACAGCCTAATGCAGACATATCATAATTTATAATGAATTTAATAATGAATTACCTCTGCTTGAAGAATTTCAGTTTGGGTTTTCTCATTTTTCAAGTCTTTCAATACTGAAAAATTAAAACAAATCAAAGCCTTAGCAAGCTAAATCATAAAATAAAATTTGCATATAAATGTTGCAACTTTATTCGTAAAATGTTAGAATAAAACAGACTAAAAATAATGAATATTAATGATAAAAAAATTAATTATCTGGCTTAAATCAGACCACACCAGCTTTAAGATTATATTATATATACATATACATATATATATACATATATACATATATATACATATATATATATATACATATCATAATAAATAAAAACAGAAAAACACGAAGAAAATTAAGAAAAAATATCAAATAGATTTTCTTTACCTTTAGGTATGCTAACAGAATGGAAATGGGGTGTTTATAATTACTTTAAAAAATTTGTTTTCAATAATAAGGACAATTTAAATAACAGTAACAATTCAACAAATTTTTCCAAAATTGTTTAATCTATTAAGCAACTTCAAAAAAATTTTGTAATTATTCCCATAGACAAAGCTAACAATAATTATACAATCTTCTGTAAAAAATTCTATGTTGAACTTTTAAATACGGAATTTAAAAAAAAGTAAAAATTTTAAACTTAGTAATTTAAACAATATTGTCGTTAAAAAAATTTTAGCTTTATATAAGAGATTAAAAATTAAAATTAGCAATATACAATTTCCTTACTTAATTATCAGTCCTAAATTTCATAAAATTCC